CGCTGCTTGGTTGGCGTTACTGCTACTGAGCGCTGATTGGTTGGCGTTACTGCTATTGAGCGCTGATTGGTTAGCGTTACTGCTACTGAGCGCTGCTTGGTTAGCGTTACTGCTACAGAGTGCTGATTGGTTAGCGTTACTGCTACAGAGTGCTGATTGGTTAGCGTTACTGCTACTGAGCGCTGATTGGTTAGCGTTACTGCTACTGAGTGCTGATTGGTTGCCCTTACTGCTACTGAGCGCTGATTGGTTGGCGTTACTGCTACTGAGCGCTGATTGGTTAGCGTTACTGCTACTGAGCGCTGATTGGTTAGCGTTACTGCTACTGAGCGCTGATTGGTTAGCGTTACTGCTACTGAGCGCTGCTTGGTTAGCGTTACTGCTACTGAGCGCTGATTGGTTAGCATTACTGCTACTGAGCACTGCTTGGTTGGCGTTACTGCTATTGAGCGCTGATTGGTTAGTGTTACTGCTACTGAGCGCTGATTGGTTAGCATTACTGCTACTGAGCACTGATTGGTTAGCATTACTGCTACTGAGCGCTGATTGGTTAGCATTACTGCTACTGAGCACTGCTTGGTTGGCGTTACTGCTATTGAGCGCTGATTGGTTAGCGTTACTGCTACTGAGCGCTGATTGGTTAGCATTACTGCTACTGAGCACTGCTTGGTTGGCGTTACTGCTATTGAGCGCTGATTGGTTAGCGTTACTGCTACTGAGCGCTGATTGGTTAGCATTACTGCTACTGAGCGCTGCTTGGTTGGCGTTACTGCTATTGAGCGCTGATTGGTTAGCGTTACTGCTATTGAGCGCTGCTTGGTTAGCGTTACTGCTACTGAGTGCTGATTGGTTAGCGTTACTGCTACTGAGCGCTGATTGGTTAGCGTTACTGCTACAGAGTGCTGATTGGTTAGCGTTACTGCTACTGAGCGCTGATTGGTTAGCGTTACTGCTACTGAGCGCTGATTGGTTAGCGTTACTGCTACTGAGCGCTGATTGGTTGCCGTTACTGCTACTGAGCGCTGATTGGTTGGCTTTACTGCTACTGAGCGCTGATTGGTTAGCGTTACTGCTACTGAGCGCTGATTGGTTAGCGTTACTGCTACTGAGCGCTGCTTGGTTAGCGTTACTGCTACTGAGCGCTGCTTGGTTGGCGTTACTGCTACTGAGTGCTGATTGGTTAGTGTTACTGCTACTGAGTGCTGATTGGTTAGCGTTACTGCTACTGAGCGCTGCTTGGTTAGCGTTACTGCTACTGAGCGCTGCTTGGTTAGCGTTACTGCTATTGAGCGCTGCTTGGTTAGCGTTACTGCTACTGAGCGCTGATTGGTTAGCGTTACTGCTACTGAGCGCTGATTGGTTAGCGTTACTGCTACTGAGCGCTGCTTGGTTAGCGTTACTGCTATTGAGCGCTGCTTGGTTAGCGTTACTGCTACTGAGCGCTGCTTGGTTAGCGTTACTGCTACTGAGCGCTGATTGGTTAGCGTTACTGCTACTGAGTGCTGATTGGTTGGCGTTACTGCTACTGAGCGCTGATTGGTTGGCGTTACTGCTACTGAGTGATGATTGGTTAGTGTAATTGCTGTGGAGAGATGATTGGTTATTGTTACTGCTGTGGAGAGATGATTGGTTCTTGTTACTGCTGTGGAGAGATGATTGGTTCTTGTTACTGCTGTGGAGAGATGATTGGTTCTTGTTACTGCTGTGGAGAGACGATTGGTTAGCTGTAATTACTTCTCGCCACACTATTCAAAGTAGAGCATAGTAGAAGGTCCTGCAAACTTATACAAGTATAAATAAATGCTGTGCTTTTTAATGGAAAACAACACCCCCACCTGCTCAGCCTGGCTAGCGTAACCCACAGTAGCTGTATCCTGTGTCTGGTTAGAGTGACTGTGTTACAGAAGCTCCTGTCAGCATGTTGCTGTAGAGCTATCTGCTGCTGATAATGAGGTCATGCTGAAGATGATGGCGTTTCCCTGAACTGTCTGACCAGAGAGAACACAGAGTTCATGTTTACTGACAGAGTGACTAATGTTACCTCCCACGCTGTGGACCCACGGCCTGGCAGAGCGAGAGAGAGAGCGAGAGATGGGTGAAAGGACACTGTATCTGCTGTGTAAGTTCAGTCAGACCGTGACCGAGTCAGCTGAGAGCAGGAAACAGTTTACACTAGTGTAAACTTTGGGGTGGGACAGGGGGATCTATAACTCATTATCCGATATAAATTATTCAGTAACTACTGTGAATTATTTAGTATCTACTTTTTTATTTAGTATCAACAATCATCTGTCACTCATCATTTAAGCCGCTTATCCTCCTGGGTTACATGGGGTTCTGGACCCTATCCCAGTGTGCGGTGTCCACTAAGAATTGTTTAGTAATTACTATGAATTATTCAGTACCTTCTATGAATTATTCAGTACCTTCTATGAATTATTCAGTGTCTACTATGAATTATTAAGTAATTTCTATGAATTGTTCAATAATAACTATGAATTATGCAGTAATAACGTTGAATTATTTACTATCTTCTATATATATTATCCAGTATATTCTATGAATTATTCACTATCTACTAGAAATTATTTGCTAACAACTATAAATTATTCAGTGTCTATGAATAATAGACTATGAATTATTTAGTAATTACTATGGAATGTTCAGCATCTCCTATGAATTGTTCTGTATCTGCTATGAATTATTTGGTATTAACAATAAATTATTTGGTAAGTACTGTGCATTATTTAGTATCTACTATGAATTACTGAGTGTCTGACATGAATTATTCAGTATCTGCTATCAATTATTCAATTATTCTACTTTGAATTATTCAGTATCTAATATTAGTTATCTTGAATGAATTCTGTATGTCTTTTGAATTATTTATCTACTTTTATTAATTCAATAACTACTTTTTATTATTCAGTATTGACTGAACTACTCATTGTCTTCAGTAACTTCTATAGATTATTGCTGGATCATTGCTGGATCTACGTTTTGGGTGGATGAAATGGTCGTTTCGCTTTACTTTTCATGACTTTGTAAAACTTTGGTGTTGCTTAAATATCAGAGTGGTTAAACGGTTAAATGGGTTGTTCTATCTTATTTCTCTCTCTCTGTAGGTGTTGGAGGATAATACTGGAGTGAGGAGAGTGGTGGTGACCCCCCAGTCTCCAGAGTGTTACCCCCCCAGTTATTCCCCTGCTCTCTCCCCCACCCACCATTTACCCCCATACATGGCCCACCCCCACTTCATCCCCAACTCACACACAGCCTTCTATCCACCCCTCAGCCCGGGGGACCTGAACCCCCACCAGTTCTACCAGCACCACCTCCCACCCATCTACAGCGACGGTAAGACAGTCTGAGAATTACTCACCTTACGCCCCCTACAGGAGACCCCCCATACTGCACTGTTTAGTGTTTCTCCTACTCAAACACACCTGAATCAGCTCATTAAGGACATCATAGATACCTGATGAGTCAAAACAGGTGTGTTAAACTCAGGAAAACATCGGCAGCAGAAGCTGCAGGGAGTGTTTAGCAGAGTTTCTCATTTAGCCGGATGACATAAACTATTAGTTTGACCATAAATCACATTTACACACTTTCAAGCAAATGTAGTTGATCAGCCAAGACGTGTTTGGTGCAAGTCTGCTTGTTTAGTTGCAGCACTGGAGTTACGAGGCAAAAATGAATGGGAGTTTATTAGCATAGCCTTAATTATGCTGTTTCTGACACTGTATGATACACTCTTATCTATAAACACAGACTAACGTACAGCCAGAATTCAGGCTGCTATCGTTTTCAGCTAAACTAACATTCTTAGCTGAACTCTTAAAAACGAGGATCGAAAACGAGCCATAAAGGACCATTTTGGTTCTCTAAAAACTATCAAAGTATGTTTCTGGAGAACCATTTGTAAGAGTGAGATCTGAGTATGCAGAACCCTTTTGAAAGTTTAAAGAACCTCCGCATTATGTAAAGGTTCTAGGAAGAGCTCCTAAGTTGGTATAGAACCTTTATATAATGCCTCTTTTTCAAACATGGTTCTTTAGGGAACTAAAAGTGGTTCTTCTATGGCATCATTGTATTTAAGACTGTATGTGACATACTTTAGTCCCTGTTTATAGAAAGCAGTAAGTCATAGTGTACAGTAGAAACCACTGGTACACCAGCAGAAGGAGAGCTATGGGTCATTTCTACTGGACGATCCTCATTTTGAGCTTAAATCACTAAAGCGACTGTTCTGTCCGTTTAGCATTGTCTGCTTTAATGTGTGAATATTGTGTAACAGCAGATCAAGAAGGGGACGTGTTTGTGATGTGTTTCCAGAGATAATCCCCCTCTACGGTATGAACTACGCGAGCCGTGAGGAGCCGTATAAGCCCCAGCCGAAGAAGATGAAGGACCGTCTGGAGCGACAGAACAGTCTGAACAGCGCCCCCTCTGGCTATAAGAACAACATCAGCTCCAACAGCGTCTACAACGGCTACGGGAAGGGTCAGGGAGGAGGGGGATCAAGCCCCGGGGCCAAGAAGACCACCAGGGGCCCCCGGAGCAGCCCCAGGGGCCAGGAGCCTGAACAGCAGGGTGAGGAGAACAGCCACTACATATAAACCTATACTTCAGAATTAGCTCTACAAAGAAAATCTGTTCTAAATTTGTTTTCTCACTTACAAACTCGGCCAAGTCATGTTTGGTGCTTGAAGTTTGCTTCTGTAGTTTTGCACTTGAGCTATGAGGCTAAAGTAACTGACTCCAGTTAGCGTTACGCTAACTGCATACCTAAATCATCACAACTTACACTACACTTTAGCTAACTGGCCACTTTATCAGAAACACCTACCTTGTAGTTCCACTAACTGGCCACTTTATTAGAAACACCCACCTTGTGCTTCCACAAACTGTCCACTTTATTGGAAACACACACCTTGTACTTCCACTAACTGGCCACTTTATTAGAAACACCCACCTTGTGCTTCCACTAATTGGCCACTTTATTGGAAACACCCACCTTGTGCTTCCACTAACTGGCCACTTTATTAGAAACACCCACCTTGTGAGTCCACTCACTGACCATTTTATTAGAAACACCCACCTTGTGCTTCCACTAACTGGCCACTTTATTAGAAACACCTACACTGTGTTTCCACTCACTGGCCACTTTATTAGAAACACCCACCTTGTGCTTCCACTAACGGGCCACTTTATTAGAAACACCCACCTTGTGCTTCCACTAACTGGCCACTTTATTTGAAACACGTACCTTGTGCTTCCACTAACTGGCCACTTTATTAGAAACAACTACACTGTGTTTCCACTCACTGGCCACTTTATTAGAAACACCTGCCCCGTGTGTAGTGAGAGATGCTGCTTTCTCTCTACACGTGTTTTCATTTTTAGTTCCATCTTTCATCATATCATGCCGAAGTATTTAAAACCAACACCTGTGTTCCACGAAAGCTCCAGCTGTTTCTCCTCAGACACATCTGCAGCGTTTCGGTGCTCCAGGTTTGTGCTTCTCTGCAGTATCTGATTGGACAGTCTCTCAAACCCAGCGCGGCTCGATGGAGCTCAGCTTTAATCACCCAGTTATCAGCATCTCCAACAAACATCCTGTTTTTGCTGTAACTGTTGTGCAGTGAGTTTTAGTCTGTAACGTCAGAGGCCTGCGCTGTGTGTGTGTGTCGGGGTGGGGCAGTGTTGAGCTCTGTGCAGGTGTGTGTGGGGTGTGGATATCGCTGTGTGTTGACGTCATGGAAACTGGTGGAGAACACACGACACATAGCCTTTGATCATTCAGCAGCAGAGCCAAGTGTTTTACCTACTGCCACATGTTCAACACTCAGGCTCGTTTACAGTACTGTGCAGAAGTCAGAGACCCCCGTCATCCCCTTCACTCGTTTAATTTCCAATCACAACTGCAGAAGTTATTCAACAAGTACACACAAACTTTATTATCATGCAGTTCAGTCTGGAAAAAAGTTTGATTGGGAAGAAATTCACTCTACAGAAAGATAACGACCCTAAGCTCGCTGTCTAAGACGATCAAGACTGAGCAGTGGACTGACCGCCCCAGAGTCCAGACCTCAACACCACTGAATGTGTTTGATTACTTCAGAAAATCATCAACCAGCTTCTTAGACTGAACTTTAGAGGTGTGTCTGCAGATTCTTTGAGGAGCTGAAAGTGAGTCTCCTGAAAAGAATGGAAGCTGGAATAAAGGTGAAGAGTGACTCACTGAACAGTCAGACAGCTGAGATTAGATTCAGCTGTCATACAATTTTCTGCTTTTTCTCTCTAAAATTGAAAAAAATGAATGAACTTTTTCCTTCACAGCCATTTTGACTGGAAAGTAAATAAATGAAGGGTCTCCTGATTCTGCAGTGCTGTATGCAGATCAGCGATAGGAAATAAAGTAGTTTCGATTGGTTTTGTGTTTGAAACCTTTGCAATCACAGCGTGATGTAGTTTTAGGGCAGTTTTAGAAAAATTCATTACATTAAAAACTTTTTCTAAATTCTGATTTCCTCAAACGGGCGGCACGGTGGCGCAGTGGGTAGCGCTGTTGCCTCACAGCAAGAAGGACCTGGGTTCGATTCCCGGCCGGGTGACCAAGGTCATTTCTGTGTGGAGTTTGCCTGTTCTCCCCGTGTCTGCGTGGGTTTCCTCCGGGTACTCCGGTTTCCTCCCACAGTCCAAAGACATGCAGTCAGGCTGATTGGACGTGATAAAATTGCCCCTAGGTGTGAGTGAGTGTGTGAATGTGTATGTCTGTCTGTCTGCCCTGCGATGGACTGGCGACCTGTCCAGGGTGTATCCAGCCTTCCGCCCAATGACAGCTGGGATAGGCTCCAGCACCCCACCGCGACCCAGAAGGATAAGCGGTTTAGATGATGGATGGATGGATGGATGATTTCCTCAAATGTCACGCACCGCAACCAACGACAAAGGACTTTTATTCTGACATGCTGTAAAGAGAGAATAGGCGTCATAAAGAAGACCCTAATTGACTTTCATGGTGCAGTGAAATGAATGCTTGTTTTTGAGTTGTGGCTGTGCTGGTTCAGTTTACCGTGTCAGCTAATGTGACCCCAGAAAAGACATGAATATGTGTTGTTATTATTATAGTAATAATGTATATGTTTATCTGTATATACATTTATAATCCTTGATCAAGGAAAATCTAAATCTATCTGTGTTCTGATTCATGTAGTAGGTTAATGTGAGATCAGCCATCAGAGAGAAGAAGGTTGTCAGCTCACAGGCATGACAGTGATTGATTAGTTCAGTGTTTGATCAGCAGCATCACTAACGTTAATGTTTACTGTGGAAAAGCCGTTAAAACTAATCAAACCGATCCAAACAGTCGTCACAGACGGGCCGGTCCTCACAGCTCACTGGCTCCACGGAACCGCTCCCTTTTTTATTTTATTCATAGATGACATCACACACTGTCTCTCCTGTTCACCGCTCTGAATTCATAACGCTCGCCCATCCAGTGCTGAAGCAGCAGAGTCATGTTTATATGGGTGTGTGTGATTGGAATCATCCGGAATCTGCCCATTCCTGCTGTAAATATTTCTTTGGAATCATCCAGAATCTGCCAATTTCTGCTCTAAATATTTGTTTGGAATCGTCCGGAATCTGCTGATGTCCTCGGTCAATATTTGATTGAAATCATCCAAATCTACCAGTTTCAGCTGTAAGTATTTGATTGGAATCGTCCGAAATCTCTCAAATTCTGCTGTAAATATTTGATTGGAATCGTCCGGAATCTGCTGATGTCCTCGGTAAATATGTGTTTGGAAATGTGCAGAATCCAGCCATTTTAATTTGATTGGAATTATCTGGAATCTGTCAGTTTTTGCTGTACATATTTGATCTGAAATGGAATGATCCAGAATCTTCTATAAATATGTGATTGTTTTGGTGTGGAATCTCCTGATTTCACACCTGTGACGTGGTGCCGTACTGTGGGTGAGACAGTGGCGTTGATGGTATCACAGCGTATGTGGTTTTTATATAGCAGTAATGCACAGTAACATCCCCAAACAGGCAGAACTGCTTATTTATTCTGAACTATTAATTATCAACTGTAAAGCAGCATGAGCTGTTTCTGCTGTCAGTCTGAGCTGTTCAGTGTTAAACACCTCAGTTCCAGAGAAAAGCTGTAATACACACTTCCCAGTAACACAGATCCTGTGGGCAAACTCAGGAAGACCGATGCCAACAACATCTCTCTCTCTCTCTCTCTCTCTCTCTCTCTCTCTCTCTCTCTCTCTCTCTCTCTCTCTCTCTTTACTTGGAAATCCCCCTTTACTGAAACCATACATTGTCTGCCTGTTTCACTGTTTCAGATGAACAGATGTGAAAGTGAGTGAGACAGAACTTCTTTAGAACCTCTGTTTCTGAGGGATAGAGGAGAACAACGTGCCGCTGCAGACAAACCCTATTGTTTCATTCTCCTCTGTGTAAGTTAATATTGTGTTAAAGGGCTCATCTCAGTCCTGAGCGGTGCAGCCGTGTAAGAGCACATACACGCTGATTGTGCTTTAACACAAACTTTCAGTAACAGGTTATTTATATCGTTATGAAAAGTGATTCCAACCTTTTGAGCTTTCGCTCAGTTGCTAGCTTTTTCTCAGACGTTTGCTTTCGCTTGTTCATTAGCTTTCGCTCTATGCGTTTTTCTGGCTGGACCCCAGGGAGAGACGGCAGTGTTCGCTCGTTTGTTAGAGTTCAGGTGATGTTAGTTTTTGCACCATCGTTAGCTTTTGCTTGGCGGTTAGCGCTCCCTTGGTTGTTAGCTTTTACTCAGTCACTAGCTTTCGTTCGTTTGTAAGCTTTTGCTCAGCCATTAGCTTCTGTTCGGGCATAAGTGATCGCTTGGTTGTTAGCTTTGAATCGATATTTTTTTTTTTTTCTGAAGTGACCACAGACAAACTGTAGCATTCGCTTGGTTAACTTTGAATCAATATTTTTTTTTCCTGAACTGACCACAGAGAGACTGTAGCGTTCGCTTGGTTGTTAGCTTTGAATCGATACGTTTTTTTCTGAATTGACCACAGAGAGACTGTAGCGTTCACTTGGTTGTTAGCCTTCACTCAATGTTAGCGTTTGCTTGGTCGTTAGCGTTCGCTCAGTTGAAAGCTGTCACTTTGCTCTTAGTTTTCACTCAGTATGTTTTTTGACTGGACCACGAAGAGAGACTGTAGGGGAGCACAGTTTTATTAAAGCTGTGTGGGCGAGACAAACTATATCAGACTGCTAAGCCGGGGTTACACTACACGACTTTTACCCCAAGTTTAGCTCCAATCCTCAGTCTGGCTGGGTCTGTGCTGCTCTTTTTATAATCTGTTCAGACTTTAAAAGGCTTTACATACATGCTACCCAAAATTAGGACCATTCAGTTTAGGCAAGGCAGGCAAAGTAACTTATATAGCACCTTTCATACACAGCGGAGATTCAAAGTGCTTCACACAAACACAGAATAATAAAAGCATTAAATAATAAAGCTAATAATGCCCTGAGATCTAGCAACGAAATAAAAAAGAAAATAAAATGATGGTTGAAAGAATCCTGCAGTG